GGCGGTGGCGGGAACACGCTGGGCAGCTGCAGCGGCCGAAGCGGCGGGAACGTGCTGGGCGGCCTCGGCGGCTGCGGCGGCATTCAGCTGGCGGTCCCCCAACCCCCGCAAGTGAATGGCAAGCCCTGTGGGGCTTGACACCAACTAGGTAACACTATCAGTGCTAGAAGGGGGGGTATGTGGAGAGGAGGAGAAAGAGTGGGACTATGGGTCCCTTGCGGTTCTCTGAGCTGGCTGGTTTTCTTGCAGACGTTTCATGACCCAACTAGGTGGCATCATCAATGCTAGAAAGGAGCAGGGCTTGTGGATGAGGAGATGGAGATGGATATAAGGACTGTGGGTTCCTTGGTGCTGTCTGAGCTTGGTGAATTTCATGTAGATGTTTCATGACCCAACTAGGTAACATCATTAGTACTAGAAGGGAAGGGGGGTTGATGTCACCAACATGGGTCATAAAACGTCTGGAAAAAACAAGCAAAGTCAGAGAGCACCAAGGACCCCAGAATCGTTGTCCTCCTCCTCCTCCTCCTCCTTCCCCCCCCACTGATGATGTTCCCAAATTGGGTCCTGAAACGTCTCTGCAAGAAAACCACTAAGCTCAGAGAACACCCAAGACCCCACAGTCTTCCTCTTCCTCCTCTTTGCAAGCCCCACATCTTTCCAACACTGATGATGTTCTGTAGTTGGGTCATAAAACGTTTGCAAGAAAACAACCAAACTCAGAGCGCACCAAGGACCCCACAATCCTCCTCCTCCTCCTCCTTCTCCTCTTCCTCCTCCTCCTCCTCCTCCTCCCTGCAAGCCTCACATCTTTCTAACACTGATGATGTTCCGTACTTGGGTCCTGAAACGTCTTCAAGAGAACCGCAGCCACCATTTTTGTTTCCTACAGTTCCCCTCCCCTATTGTGGGAATTAAAAGATAGGTCTGGTGGTGTTTCTGATGCATTTAAGGTTGCACACCTAGCAAAAGTTCTCCTGTGGAAGAAGACTGATCTCTTTTCTCAAGGGTCCTCCGAAATACCCAAAGGTATTTTTCATTTTTCAGAGGGAAACGGAGGTAAATACACCAACAGCCATCAGGCCTCGTAAAGATAGGACTTGCTAGTGTCTTAATCTATTTTTATTATTTGTTTATAGATTCCCCCCCCCTCCCAGTACAGGGGTAGGCAACCTTGGCTCTTTTATGACTCGTGGACTTCAACTCCCACAATTCCTGAGCCAGCATGGCTCAGTTTGGAAACCTCTCCCTTTTCCCCTCAGCGTGGCTGGCTCAGGAATTCTGGGAGTTGAAGTCCACGAGTCATAAAAGAGCCAAGGTGGCCTACCTCTGCCCAAATGCCTGAATTTTGATCACGTGACTGAGAGGAAAAAATATTTAAATATTTAAACCAGGGGTCTTCAAATGTGGCTCTTTTATGACTGGTGGACTTCAACTCCCAGAATTCCTGAGCCAGCATGGGGGAACTATGGTCCCCTCATGACTCGTGGACTTCAACTCCCAGAATTCCTGAGCCAGCATGGCTCAGCTTGGAAACCTCTCCCTTTCCCCCTCAGCATGGCTGGCTCAGGAATTCTGGGAGTTGAAGTCCACGAGTCATAAAAGAGCCATGGTTGCCTATCCCTGCCCTACAGATTTAATGTGGGGTGGAGAAAAACTGCAGAACAGGAAATAAAAACAACATTTTTCTTTCTTTGAAATGCTCACGTAAAGCATTTG